CTTGGAGATTTATTATCAATTTTACTGCCTGTTGCTTCCCCGTTGAACACTGTGCAGATGATATGGAGTCAGTTATTTCATTGTAGTGAAAACGGCTCATGTCTGGTTCACACGTCTGGCAGCAGGTCTGTACTTGAATCCGTCCCTCTTTGTCATATTTAGTCCATTTCGTTGTCCGTCACCGTCAGTTTTTAATGTCACTATAAGGTTACTTGCATGTTGTTGCAGCAGTACTTGCAAATTTGGCCATCAATGGAGTTCGGATAGGCCCAGGGGACGGCAAGATATAGGAAGCAGCCTTGTTGCTGCTTGCTGCGGCTGCGGCAGCTGCTCCTATATATAGTATGTCACTGATGTCAGCTATAGTCCTGGATACCTTGTATATGACTTGTAGAAATTATTTCAATATTATTAATCCAAGATATCCCAAATCCGAGCCTCAGGTGCGGGTACCTAGCTCCTGGAGTCGGAACCTGAACCCGGGTGTTGGGAAGTGAACCCGGGGTATGTTTCTTTAGATACCGATACACAAAGGCAGCACAACTATCATATATAGAAACATTGTGTAAATTAGCTTAGATAACTCCGAAAAAAGCCTAACATAGTGACTTATGCCATTGTGGGGATTGTCGTATTTTACCATAAAACGGGTCCTGTACCCGTATCCGTACTAAGGCCCCACGTGATCGTGATCATTATGTTTGTGATGATTATTATTATTTAAGCTGACTAAAGTACCTAATGAATGAAGCTACAGATAGGAGGATCTGTTTCGTGTAGAATTTAACATCGTGTACCTGTTATTGTAACTTGCTCTTTTCTTTTTAAAGGTTAATAACTCAGTTGACTTTATTCCTGTTTATCCTTTTAGTGAATAATTTTCACAAGTTGAGTTACAAAGCTCTAACCACCATAATCTGACAACCAATCAAAACTATTGGAAAGTAACTTCCTTTATTATCACACATCACAGCACACTATCCTAAACAAGATAAAAGTCTATCAGTAATTTACTACAACATCAGGTCCCTTAAGAGCAAACACTATGATGACCTCCTGCACTCCTTAATCACTAAAGACACTCTCTCCCTGCCTTTTCTTTTCTTACTGAGACCTGTCTTAAGCAGTATACAATAATATCTAACTACCCTCTACCCAATACACACACTTCACAACTGCAGACCAAACCACGTTGGGGGGGTATTGCAATCTTTACTCTACACCAATTATCTTGTATTAGCACCACTAGCTTAGTTATGAATATGGGGAATACATGTTGCTACTTTTACTGTAAAAAAACTTAAACACCATAACAATCGTGCCATTTACCGATACCTCACACAAACACAGCCCAAAATTTCAGTGCGAAATTACAGTCACTAATAACAAACACAAATGAAATAACACCACCTGCTCTTAGCTGGAGACCTTCAACATCAACCTGGCTTACTAGATATCACCTGTAACTGCTTTCATCAACAATAGAACAACGACACTTCTCATACCAACAATAACTAAACCAACCAGGCTCACTGATACAAATCAACCATCATAGACCACAATGGACCCAATATACTACCCCCCTAAATCAGGATAATCACAGATAGCACTACAGACCACTACCCTACCTTCCTTTGACAAACATTAAGAATACCACCACTTGAATACAACAAAGTTTCACATTTAGACTCCATGACGAGGCCCTCAAGAAGGGAAGTTCACCTCTGACCCTAGAGACTGTTGACTGGCCTACAGAATTTCTCCAAGGCCAATGTAAATTGATGACTGGACAGACACTTTCTTACAAATTATCTTAGACTATAACAAACATTGCCATAAAACGAAACAGATCACAAGCCAACGGCTGGTGCCCAGGCTAACCAGCACCAGTCTGAAATCCATTGACAAGAAACTCCAAATATAAAAGCAATATAAACAAGGGCTTAATACACCAAGATATTCCTTAACCACTATTCCTTCAGTCTCACCAAAGTAATAAAAAAAGCCAAAACAACTATACTACTCTCCATAGACTCACACAGACACTAGAGGAAGATATAAAAAAACCCTGGAAAAACACTCTCTCAGATTCCTAGACCCACAAAACGAAAAAAAATAAAACCAAGAATATTGTCCTAAACTAAACCTAATGAAACACCACTACATCCCACTGACTCAGCTTAACAAGATAAACACTTCTCTCAACCATAGAATCTATCTCGCCACTAACTCCCACATACCAATGCCTCATGCCGGGGACTACCTAGATGGGAAATTTCCCCAAATTCCTTCTATCTGCACCAACTGAGTCCCATCGGAAGTCACCAATTATAAAGTCACTTAAAATACTCAGGAATCTGTCTCATGTCCACCATTACGTACAAGCGAGCGCCCATGTCCGTTCGCATGCTATTTTCATTAACTTTTTAACAAGTCACTAGAAACTAGCACCATCTCCAAAACTACTCCAAAAGATGGCATGGGTTTACACCAATACATAAAGGTGGTGACCCTACCAGACTTAAACAACTATAGCCAATACAAACTTACCATTCGCTTATCCAAAAATCTTTGAGAAACTCGTGCACAGGAGACTAAATTCCTTTATAACGACACACAAACATACTCAATCCTGCAATTTGGATTCAGGAAAAATTAAAGCACTAATGATGCAATCATAAAAATGCCAAGATCAGCTTAACACAGCATTGGAAACTTAAGGAATATCCACTAGAATTTTTTATTGTCCGATAGAAAAGCGTTGACACAGTAACCACGGCCTCCTACTCCACAAACTTACCATTACGGTAGAAGAGCCATGCGCTTGCCATTATTTCAAATCTTTTACCCTTACTAAAAGGTATCAGTATGTCACCATTAAAGACAACCGCATCAACAACAACGGCCACTTGATACTGAGTTCCGCAGGGAAGTGTCCTTGGTCCCCTGCTCTTCCTCATATACATCAATGAAACTCCAAAAATATCCCAACACCTGAACCCATTCTCTTTGCTGACGACACCGACTTATGCCCTCACTCCACCCTAATCTGCCACCCTCAACACCATTGTTACCGAGAGCTGATCAAAATATCGACTTGGATGATAGCCCATAAACTAAACGCTTAACACTGACGAAAACCTACTATATTATGTGTGGTAGCAGAGCAGGAGATCACAAATTAACATTAAGATCGACAACACTCTAATTACCAGACATAATGAGGCAAATTCCAGGCCTATACCTTGACAACAACCTGAATTCAGCACCCATAGCCAACACATAACCAAAAAAGTATCCAAAACGGAGTTGGGAAATCCTCTCCCAAGATACATACTAACGTGCCGCCAAATGCCCTTCTCCACACTATTACCCACTCACTTATTTATCCAGCCTCACCTATGCTATTTGTGCTTGGGATCAACTGCACAACACACTAAAGCCAATAATAACACAACATAAAAGCAGCAGTAAGAATAATCACTAAATCCCATCACCTTGCAACACACCCCCCCCACGCTTCATCGATCTAAACTTACTCCCTGTTCATACATCCACCACTTACTACGTGCAATCTACCATCTACAGACCTTAAACTCCAACTATCCCCCCAAAAACCTTGACCCTAAAAACGCTTTCTTGATATTGTGACAGAACCCACAGGCATAACACCAGACCACAAACATCCTCTACGACCATTCCCAGTGTCCGACTAAACCTTTACAAAAATTCAATGTAGTCAAAGCCCTAGATCTGAATACCCTACCTGAGAACTCTAGAACTGCAGACACATTCATCACCTTCAAAAAACTACATTAGAAAACATCTTCACTCCCATATACACCCCGTCAACTACTACACAATACCACCTGGTGATCACCACTTATCACTCCCTCACCACACCATTTGACCAAAACAGAAAAGATTATCTCAATCTTAAAATAATAATCCCGTATACCTCCAATACTGACACTATGTACTGTGCCAAAACAAAAGCATTCACATTGCTTAAACTCACAAACAAGTATTAGTCACTTACCATAATACCAACGTACCTCATAATTTGTAATATTTGAAATAAGATTAAACTAAGTCTGCCCGAAATGCCTACCATGCTAGGCGTTTCTAGTGTACACTCTGTAATCATATTTATTTTACTGCATGTAAACCACACATTAACCAAATTCGTAAAGCTCAGCATTTGTAATCCTTATAGAGAATAACTTTGATATGAATTGAATACTGTTTTAAGTTTTAAAGGTTTTTTGTTTTTATTTTAATAATAAAGATGTCAAAAGACCCAAGTGGAAATAATCCACTTTGTTTTTTTTCTGGGGTTTATCCAAAGTAAATTAATACGTTTAATGATAATTGTACTTGTGTACCTGTGCCTGAATAAACAAACTAACTTACTTATGTACTTACTTACTCTCTTATTTTCTGGCTTGCTCACTTTCTTACTCTCTTACTTTCTTAATTACTACGTATTAGGACAATAAATGCATTCCCTTGAGATGTTTATTAGTTTTTAATATATATTCATTATCTTCTATTTTTCGTTGTTTTCCAATAGACTGATAATTAATTTTCAGAGTGAATTCTATTATAATTTAGTATTTTTCATATTTTTTTATATTGTCATAATTCTTGTGATCTGTTCATTTTATCTTTATCATCTTTTATTCATTATTTTATATAATTTGTTTTATATGTCATTTTTATATAATTTCTTATCTGCCACATGTGATTTTTATATTAATATAATATTATTAATAATATAACAAAAGGACCCAAATCGAAATAAGTCACTCTGACTTTTTTTATTTTAGATTTAGATTTAGATTTTTTTTTTTGGGTTATCCCAGTTCTCTACACATATGCTGCCATGTGTGATAATCTATGTGACTGTATTTGTGTATATCTTGATAAATTTACTTAATTTTACTTACACTTTCTTACCCACTTACTTACTCAGCCAGACAGGTGGTTGTGGCAGGTGGCAACATATGGCACCACCTCACACATCAACAAAACATCATCGTTTCCCCCAGTTTGTAAATATTCCATTCGAATATAAATATATTGTTTGTCCACCTTTTGAAATTCAGATATAAAACTTATTTGTAGATCATATTAAACATGGATTTTTTTTAGGACGCATGATGGCATCATCTGATTGTCTTGACGTGTCTTTTATAATTCAGGTTTTTCATTCAGATGTTACACAAATTTTTTTCTTCACAGGTGGAGGCGAGAGCCGAGGAGACTTCAGGAAATTTTGACAAGTCTGGGGGACAGTTATATAGGCCTACTGCTGCTGTATGTGGTTGTTTGGGTGAGTCTTTAACATAGGTAATCCTACGGGTTTAGCGCTCCCCCTTGATTATAATTATTTAACAGGAAAAAATGAGCACTGCTGCTGCAGGCCCATGCTAGGCAGGTCTAAGTCACACACTCAAGTAGGAAGGAGCACTGCGGCAGGCCTACTGGCCCAAGCTGGTCAGGTTCAACTCATACTCACCATATATTGTCATCCAATTTAACCAATCTTGCTGCAGTGGTGCTTCATTATGTTTTTTAAACCTTATATGCTTTTCTTACCTTCACTTATTTATATATATATATAGTATATATATAGTATATATATATAAGATAAGAGATAAGATTTCGTTCGGATTTTTAACCCCGGAGGGTTAGCCACCCAGGATAACCCAAGAAAGTCAGTGCGTCATCGAGGACTGTCTAACTTATTTCCATTGGGGTCCTTAATCTTGTCCCCCAGGATGCGACCCACACCAGTCGACTAACACCCAGGTACCTATTTGCTGCTAGGTGAACAGGAAAAAAGGTGTAAGGAAACGTGTCGAAATGTTTCCCACCCGCCGGAATCGAACCCGGGCCCCTCCGTGGTGAAGCGGGAGCTTTAGCCACCAGGCCACCGGGGCCCCTATATATATAATATATATATATATTATATATATAATATAATTTTAATATATATATATATAAATAATATATATATATATATATATATATATATATATATATATATATATATTTAATTATATATAACATTAAATATATTTTATTATATTATATATATATATATATATATATATATTTTAAAATATATTTACATTATATATAAATTTTATTATATATATATATATATATATATATATATATATATATATATATATATATATATATAATATAATATATATATATATATAATACATTATATATATTATATTATATATATATATATATATATAAAATATATATATATTAAAATATATATATATATATATAATATATATATATATATATATATACATACAGTAGTACCTTGAATTTCGATATATATGTATGTATATGCAAAAGAAGAAAATTAAAAGTGAATACAGGAAAGAGTAAGGTTATGAGGATAACAAAAAGATTAGGGGATGAAAGATTGGATATCAGATTGGAGGGAGAGAGTAATGGAGGAGGTGAATGTATTCAGATATTTGGGAGTGGACGTGTCAGCGGATGGGTCTATGAAAGATGAGGTGAATCATAGAATTGATGAGGGAAAAGGGTGAGTGGTGCACTTAGGAGTCTGTGGAGACAAAGACTTTGTCCTTGGGGGCAAAGAGGGGAATGTATGAGAGTATAGTTTACCAACGTTTTTATATGGGTGTGAAGCATGGGGGATGAATGTTGCAGCGAGGAGAAGGCTGGAGGCAGTGGAGATGTCATGTCTGAGGGCAATGTTGGTGTGAATATAATGCAGAGAATTCGTAGTTTGGAAGTTTTGGGGGAGGTGCGGGGTTACCAAAACTGTTGTCCAGAGGGCTGAGGAAGGGTTTGTTGAGGGGGTTCGGGCATGTAGAAGAATGGAGCAAAACAGAATGACTTCAAGAGTGTATCAGTCTGTGTGGAAGGAAGGCGGGGTAGGGGTCGGCCTAGGAAAGGTTGGAGAGAGGGGTAAAGGAGGTTTTGTGTGCGAGGGGCTTGGACTTTCAGCAGGCATGCGTGAACGTGTTTGATGGGAGTGAATGGAGACAAATGGTTTTTAATACTTGACGTGCTGTTGGAGTGTGAGCAAAGTAACATTTATGAAGGGGTTCAGGGAAACCGGCAGGCCGGACTTGAGTCCTGGAGATGGGAAGTACAGTGGCTGCACTCTGAAGGAGGGGTGTTAATGTTGCAGTTTAAAAACTGTAGTGTAAAGCACCCTTCTGGCAAGACAGTGACGGAGTGAATGATGGTGAAAGTTTTTCTTTTTTGGGCCACCCTGCCTTGGTGGGAATCGGCCAGTGTGATAATAAAAAATATTATTTTATTTTTATATTTTATTATTATTGCCTTATTTTTTTCAAATGCTTGAAGAGAAAAAATTTCTTTGCACAAAATTTCCTAGAATGGTGGATTGGGAAAAAGGACAAAGTTTGTTGGTTACAGAATTGTCAGTTACTGTTACCATCACAGAAAAGCAATTTTGTCCTCATCTACCCATTCCCAGTTGCTTGCTTCTTCCTCATTAGTCAGTTAAATTGAGGATTTACTGTACACTGAGTTAAGAGCTTGGTTGTGTCATACACACAGAAGATATGGGTAATGTTATCAGTATCTAAATGCAGGAAAGTAACATTAATGTAATGCATCATTGCACGGTCAAACTCCCAGATTAGAAAATTTTCTAATTTGCAAACTTCCTAATTTGTGAACATCCTAATTTGCAAGTGTTCTAATTTGTGAGTATCCTAGTTAATGAGATTGCTATTAGCAAGCTTCCTAATTTGTGAACTTCATAATTTGTGATCTTCCTAATTTGTGAACCTTTATTATCTAACAGTTTTACTGATGAGCAACCCTGGAATAGATTTGATTATTCATGGTTTTCTTCAGAATGCCCATTTTTGTAGTGCTTGGGGTAAGACTCTTTAATTGAAAATTAACCATAAAATTTCATTCAAAATGTACTCACTGGTTTTCCCTGTCCAGATATAAGTGATATTTGAAGAGGTAAGTCCTGACACACACAATAAGCCTAAATTTGAAACCAAATTTATTCTTATGTAATTCTATGTTCTCAGAGTAGATTCAAGGGATCTCTAAGAATGTAACCACCATGAATATGGGGATTATACACAAATAACCTGCACATAGGAGAAAGGACCTCTGTGCAGGGTTATTTGTGTATTGTTCCAGTCATGGTATTGTGCCTTTTTGTTCTTTATGGGGGAATTGACTGCATGGTATATAGTTTTATCACAGTTAAGTTAAACAATCATTTTAAAATACAGTACTACATGTGCAAAGAAACCTGGCCACAGACTGGGCTTATAGTGTAGAAAAACCCTTAAAACCAGTCACAGGTATGTCACATTATATTAGTACAGTATTATATTCAGTACCACATATTTTATTATTGAAGGAAAGTACATGCATATTCTTATTGTTCTGTAATAAGTTTTTTATGCTGTATGCTCAAACAAATGTACACTTTCAGGAGATTCATGCGACCCAACGCTGCAAAAATGGGAGATCCTATGTATCGAATAATTTTATGTCATGGGCCCAATAAACATGAAATTTTGGTCTGGGGAGCCATGACTCTTGGAGAACTGACACACAAGGTCAGCATTTTTGCTCTTTTTAAATGTGCTGTCTAACTTCTTGAATTTAATAATATTCTTTCTTAAGTGATTCTGAATACTGTTTTGACTACATGCCTCTTTTTTGCATAGAATATCCACAGGATATAATATAGTCGACTAAAATGCCAGAAGCAAGGGGCTAGTAACCTCTTCTCTTGTATAAATTACTAAATTTAAAAAGAATAACTTTCGTCTTTTTTTTAGGTCACCATTCCTTGGTGGGATACAGCTGGTTCATTGAAAAGAAAATAATAGATGGGTTGTTCTCAGCCGCCCATAGAAACAGTAGCCTGGGGAAAGTAAATGTGTGTTACCCTCCCCCTTAGTGACAGTTGTTTTTTCTCATAATTCACACTCCATTGTATTGCTGCTTGATGCTCTGCATGGACTAATTTCTCCACATTCACTTAAAATATTGCAAAGGATAGGTATAAATAAGAAATACACAAAGTTCTACACTATATGTGAAAATAATGTCAAACAATTTGCAGCATTCCCAACAGAGGCCTAACAATAAAAATAGTTCAACAGAAATTGCTGAAGAACTGTGAAAAGAAATGATGGGCTTAAAGCTCATATAGGTATTGTGCTAATCTAGGAACTTACCAGAGATTCACACAAGCCTGAAATTAGTTATAAATTTTGTATTGTAATTTCTTCCTATATTGCATATTTCCAATATACTATACACATATAGTTCCACTTCATAGCAGGCGTGGCTGTTTTTGCTCTATTTTTGGCATTTGTATATGGTATGTGATCAAGTAACTTTCAAATTTCACTACATATTAAGCATCCTGCTTGATGTAATAATATTGTGCATGATATTAAGTTTTCTCTTCAATATTGCAGATAGAAGAGGTTACTCACATTCCTCATTGTAATCAGAAAATCATCTTCAAAGGAAGGAACTTAACAGAATACAATGTAGCTCTAGCTACATATGGTATATCTTCTGGGGCTAAAATAATGGTTCTAGGCAAAAGGTTTGACCCAGAGGATGATGCCAACTATCAAGCTGTTGTCCAGGTGAGACACTACTTCAGGACTTCCCAACCCAGGGGTTGCGATCCCATCTAGGAGGGTTACAATAACTTTGTAGAAGTTTCACCTGACCTTTCTACTATTTGTGCCCTATTTTCAGTATGCTCTGTATAGGATTGATAAAATTCCAAGTGGACAAAATGTTCCCTTAATAATATATCCTAAGCGTTGCCCGTGTGTTTGTACTGCCACTAAAGGTTGGGAGCCACTGGTTTATCTTGTATATTTTGTTAGTTTCATAGTCACAAAAAATATATAATAAATTATACAGTACTGTATTTGTATTTAACCCTTTGAGGGTCGACAGGCCCTCTCCGAAACTCGTTCTGAGGGTCGGCCAAATTTAAAAAAAAAAAAAATTGTTTTTTCTTATGAAAAAATAGTTTTTTTTCTAAACATTATAGGCTAAACAAAAAAATTTTACCATCAATACTTACCGAGATATGGAGGCGTGAAGTTTGCCAAAATTGAACAACATCTGGTAACATCGCCGACTGCCGTCACCCGGTATTTTTCTATTTACTTTTTTATGTACTATTTTCAATTATTTTTCAATTTTTCTTTTTCTGAGTAACTTTTAGGCTCTGAGACCACATGTTTCAGTATTTTGTAAGTTATTTCTTTTTCAATACTCACAATAAGGGCTAAACACTGTTGTCATTATTTTGTTTATAGAAAATATTTACACAAACAATTGATATGAAATGTTGCTTATTACTATTTTTCTATATTTTATATTACATTATACAGTCACAGGGAATGTTTCTAGAAGTTCTGCAGCCTGGGGAACTCTTTGAAACATGGGTCATGCACAGTGGGTTTTACACTCCTCACACATAAAACGAGTGTCTCTGCGTTGTTGTGGGCGTTTTTTTGTATGTGCAAGACGTAACACCTCTTCTGAGCCTTTTTCTTGAAAGCAGTAGCAGGCAGTTTTACCGGGAAGTGATCACCATGTTCAGACGAGCAGGTAGTTGTTGATAATTTGGTGGGCGGTCAATTGCAGGTGCTGTTCCTTGGTACTTGAATACTATTTGTCTGATGACAGACAAACGAATTCGCTGTACTGTGGTTTGTTTCTGTCCTCATCTTATACATTTATAAGCATTGAGCATGGAAATGTCCAGAAGATGGAAAAAACAGTTTGTTGTACCACTTATAACTCTTGCGAACACAATCAGCAAACCAATCTGCATGTCACATTTGTCCACTGAAGCATGTTGAAGGTGTAATCAATCACAGCTGCAGGTTTTAGAATGGGTTCATTGCTCCTCTATGCTGCCTCCCACTGTTGCCATTTCATTAGGGTGAATGATGACAACAGTGTGACATCTCGTTTGTCATGCCACGAAATGCCATGATGTCATTGGCAGCAAACGCCTGCACCTCACCTCTAGAGTGCCAGCGTCAAACCTGGGCATATGTTTCCGATTTGCACGCACTGTGCCACACACATCTGTCATGTTCACTCGCAAAAAATCACTGAGTAGGGGCTTGTGTACCAGTTATCTGTATATAATATATGCCCCTTACCAGGTATGGTTCTATCATTGTTCTAACCACATCACCTGAGATGCCCAATAACTTCCTGGTATTTGCAATGTATAACTTCCATTTGTACACAATAATATCCAATACCAGACCACTGTAACAATCACAAAGCACAAACAACTTTATACCAAAGCGTTCTCTTGCTTGGTATGTACTGTTGAAAGAGAGTTTTCCCTTTGAACAGAATAAAAGACTTGTCAATTACAAGCTTCTGAGGGGATAAAAAGCGTACTGAATTTCTCTTTCAAAATCCCAAAACACATTCAATCTTATATAACTTGTCAGTTCTGTCAGGCTGGTTTTGTCTGAGAAGTGAAGCATAGTAACATTAGACAAATCGATTCACTGGCATTAATCACTGAAACCTGGGGTTGCAATCAGGCGGTCTGTTGACCAGTATGATTTCACTTTGTGCTTAAACACATGTGGCATAAGCATTTTTGTGGCAAAGAAAGATACATCTCAGCCACAGTTGCCTCCTTCCACGGGTTTGTAGACGTGTTTTTGGTGAAAGTAATGTGTTGCCAGGGTGTACTCTAGTATGTGTTGCTTTCCATGACAATACTTTCCATCAGGGTTCGTCAAAAAATAACTCAAAACATTCCAGTTCAGTGGCATTGTTCCCAAGTGTACAAGAGGGCCCGTTATTCCACTTTGGCTTCATCAAACTGGTGGCTTTTTGGAACAAAATTTGACAGTTTTCTGCCAATCCCGGGTTTGCGGTCTGTGGTGGGTACGACAAGGACAGGTGGTTGTGGTTGTGGAGGTTGTGGTTGTGGAGGCTGGTGTGGTGGGTGGGTGGGGATGGTGGCCTTTGTTGTAGATCAGCTGAGGCAGCGGCGTGGGTGGCAGCGGGGGGCCCCACTGCTGGTGCCTCACCCCCGGGCACCACTACCACCACGCACATTTTCATCCCAATTGCAACAGTATCTTTGTCATTTTCAATCTTGACTGTTTGTACACCCAGGGATTTTATCCGAGATGCACCCCTTTCCCCCTTGGAATGCATAGGGCCCACACTACCAGAGCGCATATATCGTCGTATATACGACCTTCACTGGGGAATATTGCACTTCACTATCACTACGGGAAAACTGTTTGAAGAGCTTGTATTTTCATATTCACTATCACTATCATCACCCATGCTCTCATCTGAGTCTGGGATTTGGGAAAATAGAAGTTCCTCTTGGATTCTGGTACAACTGAACGTGAACAAGACGGCCCAGCACCAGAGGTGGAAGGTGGGGGTCGTCTGGGTTTTCCTCACTATTACCGATATTATGGTCATTAGTTTCGGTCAAAACCTCACCAGAACCTTGAAACTCATCTTCACTGGCACTTCCATCTGTATTAGAACTGTCACTGGGGAACAAAAGTGTCCCAATTCGCCAAGGAGTGAGGAGCTTCTTACCGCGAGGCATGGTGGATATTGTTTACTAAGATGGCATTCCCACAATGCACCACTGGGTCCCAGATTTTTTTCTACCGCGCACACCGGCCACACAGACCCATTCTCTCACATGTAGGCCTACCAGCCTTTTCCCGCGAGATTTGACGGCGCTAGAATTTGTGCGTACTAGTACGTCAAAAACCCCTGCGCGTAAGACGTACTAGTACGTCCGAAACCCTCAAAGGGTTAAGAGTTACCAGCTGGATGAATACTCTTCCTGTGATACGAAACCCTCAAAGGGTTAAGAGTTACCAGCTGGATGAATACTCTTCCTGTGATATAAGAGATACATCCCCACCTTAAATTTAGTCTTCAGAGACATAATAACTTCAATAGTGATTTGGGATTCAAATGGCGAGTAGCTATATTTATGTGGCATAGATATTATATGATAATGTTGTTTTGAAAGTTAGCGATATTTGAGGTAATATTATTCAGTAACAATAAATAAACATCATATATGCATAAATATCAAGTACACGTATAGTACTGTATACCTAAATATTTATTTTTGAAATTTAAAGATTTTTGTTAAGAAATTAATTTATGTCTCTCCAGTAGTATACATATGAACAGAAGCTTCAGTGTAATTAAGTGCCCTGCTTATCTTAAAGCCTAATAGAAATCTTTGTCTTTAATCTGCTTATTTTAATACTATTTATAACATATTTTAGGTATAAACTTTTGTATGTGGCCATTTTGGACATAGCTTTTAAAGTTGCTGTATAAATATTGGTGCATTTTTTAGTGAGCTTTGTATCCTTTGTGAAACCCTTCACTCATTTTGTAGTTGCTTTAGCAATTCGCCTTAAATTCCTTCAACTTTTCATAATCATGTGCTGACAGTGTCATGTTGCTTTTCCTAAGCAGAGAGAGAAAAAAGGCTGCAGAGTTAAGATTCTGCCATATATATCAGTCATTACTCATATGATGTAGTGCTTCCATAAGTGATCTAGACATATTCTAATATATTTTCAGATTGACCATTCATGTACCAGAGTAGAAAGAACATTATTTGACATCATCCCTCAAGTTGATGGGATTTCTGGTGGATACCTTGAATCACGTTTGTGTGGAGAGACTCTGGGTAGACTGAGGAAACAGCTTCTAGCAGTTAATGAAGAGTTTATGCGCCTATTGGAGCAGCTTGATAGCATATCTTTTGAGGTCTGATATGTGTGTGTGCATATGTTTAGTATTTTCAGGAGATAAAATGAATAGGCATTGAATGCTTTTTTTTTTGTTAAATTAAATTATGTTTATTGCCTTCTCTTACTTGTAATTCTTATGTTTTTTCCTCTTTATTTACTTCTGTTCTCCCACTTGCTTAAGCTTGCTGAGGTCATTGTCTGTGTTTCTTAGTACAAGTTAGTGGTGACTGGCTTTTATAGACGGTGTTTTCTCCAAATTTATTGAGGCTTATCAAAATAGCATCAGGATGCATTTAAAATTTATTGTAAATGAATGTTCTGTGTAAATAATTCATATTGTCTTATATTTGTCTTCAAATTAGTAATACACATTTTTTCCAAAGCTTAATTTTTCATATTATAGTCGGAATTATTTAAAAGACTTAGTGACTGGTAATGACCAGAAAGCAAAGGTGCTACTATAATAAACAATAATAAGATCAATTGAAAACTCAATTTAGGTCATTTTGTTTAATAAGGATGCAACTTATATACTAGTGATATTGTGAATTGATATGTGCCATGGGGATCTGGAGAGAATACTGTTTATTCCAGTCAAACCAGCATGTGGAATTTTTTAAATAATTTTAAACCTTTCAATGTTTCAGGGGGGCCCAAATTTAAAAAAAAACAAAATTTTTTGGAAAGAGAATTTTATTTCCGATTGGAACCCAATAAGTTTTAAATTTTAGCTTGTTTAGTTGGGTTTGGCCCGATGTATAGCAAGGGGGTTTTTCCCCTTGGATTTTCGGAATTTTTGAAGTCCAAAAAAAATTTTTCCAAAAACTTTTTTTAAAATTAAGAACCAATTTAAAAATTCCGTTTAAAATGGGAGTTTTAATTTTTCCCCATTTTAACAAACAAAAGATTTCCAAAAGGATTAGGGTTGGTAAAAAAAAGGGAAATTATGGATAAAGCATTTTCTTTTGGGATTTCTTTCTTTTTGTCCCCCTTTACGGCCCGAATTTTTAAAAAAAAAAAAAAACTGAATGAACTCCTTATGGGAAAAAGGGTAAATATACAGGGATTGGGAAAAGAACTCAGGACTTATTTGGTGGCCGAGTTACAATTTTTCAAAAAAACTTTGAATTTTAGTTCAATTAAGAATTTCTTTTAAAAAAGTTAATTCTTAATTTTTATGGCACTTACCATTTATAAAATGAGACCAAGGAAATACAAGAAAAAATAAACCATTGTAAATTTCAAAGTGTCGGATTTTTTAAGAAAAAATGTCAAAGTTTTTTTTTTTTTTTTTTTTTTTTTTTCTTCAACACTTGGCCCTACCCACCTAGGCAGGGTGACCCCCAGAAAATCCCAAAACGAAATTTTATAATCATTCAAACCCCTACTAAACGTATTACTGTGCAGAAACCCCAAATTTAAAAATTTAAAGCATATCCTTTTTTAACAACCGGCCCAACCCCCCGACCGGGTGGCCCAACAAGGTTAAAAAAGTTTTCCTTTTTTGTTTTAAAGGAAAGGGGTTACAAGGGGCTTTTTCTCTGATTTTTAGTGGGCCCCCAAAACCACATCTTAAAAAAAAAATTTGCTCCCTTTTGAGGGAAAAGGGGAAATAAACAAGGGGGCAAAACTAGTAAGAAAATAGAGAAAACCCGGAGGGGTGTGTAAAATTATAAACTTTTCGCGGATTTTTTTGTTGGACCTAGTTGGGTGGGAAAACTCCGACTTGTTGAAAAAAAAAAAATGAAAGAATCCTATCATGGTAATTTGGGGTTTGTTTTTCAATTGGGAGACTTAGACTTGGGAGTGCTGGGTTACCCAAATACTACCTTTTGAATTTTAAGCATAAAAAATAAAAAAAATTTGGTTAGTATTTAAACACAACCTGAGGGGAAATACCTATTGGGATGGAAAATAGGAAAACAAAACCTGTAATTTTTTACAAAGTTGATCGGGGGTTTTTTTTGCTGTCATACATGCCCATTTTTTTTTATTTTTTTTTTTTTTTTCTTAACACTTGGCCCTTCCCCCTACAAGTTACAAAAAAATACAACCCCCGGTTTTCTTTTATCTTTCCTTTCCCCCATCTTTTCCTTTTTTGCGGGCGTGTTTAAAAGCACTTTTTTAAAACCGCCGGGAGGGAAGGGGCTAGTAACCCTTTTTCCCCTTTTTAAATTTTTAATTTAAAGAGGGAACTTTTGTTTTTCTTTTTGGGCCCCTTAAAACCTTTGGTTGGGAAGCGGCCCTTTTGGAAAGAAGGAAATAAAAAGAAAAAATATAAAAAAGGGACCTAGGGGTGTGGATTATTCTTGTGACATTATTTAACCAATAAATAAATGCCCAAATCCCAAACCCCCCTTTTAAAAGAGACAGATTCCCATTTCCCTACCATCCACTTAAAAAATCGGTTTTGTTTCCTTTACTAAAATATTACCCGGCTGCTTTTACAAAACCCAACACTGTTTTTGGCCAAAAAAATTTTCCCTTAATCTTTAAAACAAAGCCCAGGCAGGCACTGTTTTTATGTTAATAAAAAAAAGCTTAAATTGTTTTAAATGGAACTTGTTTTTGCTCTATAAATTGGCAAGATTTAGATATTTGCATTCATTCCTTTGGAACATACAAAACAATTGAAAATTTTTAAAACCCATCGGTTTTTTTTTTTTTTATTTTTAGTTTTTGGTGTGTAAATAGGGGGTTAATTTTTAAAAACAAAATTTAAAAAACTTATTTTTTTTATTTTTATACCTTAGTTAAAAAGGAGAAAATTAAAAAAAGTGGGCCTCTGGCCGGGGAAAGGATTCCAGTTCCTGTTTTCCCGATTTAAACCCCAAATATAACAACCCTCCCATTAAGTCCGACATTTATTTTTAAATTTGATTATAAAATAAACCATTTAGAATTATTTACTTTTTCACTGATGGAAAGCACTTAACAGCTTATCTTAGGTCATTATTACTTTTGCACTTTGAGGTCATTATTAAGCAAAATTAAGGGTTATTTTCAGGCCACAGTAAACCATGGCTAGCTGAAACTGTGGATACTGGACCTGCGGATATGGGGGTCCTACTGTACTTTTTTTTATGTATAAAAATGATAAACGCTTGCTTTTCTTACAGAAGAATTTAATTTTATACGTTATTAATCCCTAAACTGTGGTACACATGCACACATAACAATTTTTGTGTGGGAAAGTTTTGAAAAAAAAAATAAAAATCTAATAGAATGAAAGAGTATTTTTCGGAATCTAATAAAGTTAAAATGATTGGAATCTGATAAAAAATTAAAATGTTTATGGTGTGTTGAAGTAGGCGAAGAAATTATCACTCATTGGTAACAGCGGTGTAAATATACCAATGATATTTAAGTTTTACCTAGGTAGAAGGTTGGCAGACAGCAACCACCCAGGGAGGTACTACCGTCCTGCCAAGTGAGTGTAAAACGGAAGCCTGTATGTAATTGCTTTACACGATGGTAGGATTGCTGGTGTCTTTTTTTTCTGTCTCATACACATACACTTAGGTCACACTTCACATACATGTACAAGCATATATATACACACCCCTCTGGGTTTTCTTCTATTTTCTTTCTAGTTCTTGTTCTTGTTTATTTTCTCTTACCTCCATGGGGAAGTGGAACAGAATTCTTCCTTCGTAAGCCATGCGTGTTGTAAGAGGCGACTAAAATGCTGGGAGCAAGGGGCTAGTAACCCCTTCTGTATAAATTACTAAATTTAAAAAGGGAAGCTTTCGTTTTTTTTTTGGGCCACCCTGCCTTGGTGGGATACGGCCGGTTTGTTGAAAAAAAAAAATTAAGTTTTACAATTTATTGATACCAGGATATGATTTATTTCTGTTTTTTTAATTGCTTTTAATGTTTAACACTATGTACACTAATTTTTTATAGTAAAATATGTGTTTAACCCTTTGACTGTTTACGATGTATAAATACGTCTTACGAGCCAATGTTTCTGACGTATTTATACGCACAAATTCTAGCGGCTTCAAATCAAGCGGGAAAGGCCTGGTAGGCCTACATGAGAGAGAATGGGTCTCAGTGGTCGGTGTGGCACCCTGTGAAAAAAATCTGGGACCCAGCGGTGCATTGTGGGAACGCCATCTTGTTAGTCCATTTTCACCATGCCTCTCGGTAAGAAGTTCCTCACTCCTCGGCTGATTGCAGGTCTTTTGTTCCCAAGTGATAGCTCTAACAGTGATGAAAATGTCAGTGACAGTGAATTCCAGGGTTTTGAAGTGAGTGTTACCGGAAAAAGTGCCCAGGATAATGTAATTAGTGATGAAAACCCAGATGACCCACAACCTTCCACCTTTGGTGCCGGGCCGGCTTGTTCACGTTCACGTTCGCCTGTACCAGGACGAAAGAGGAAACTATTTGGTCGTGTACAACACCCAGATGATAGCAGTGAATTGTGATAGTGATAGTGATTTCAAGGTCATTGAAAGCAGTTCTAGTGACAGTGAGGGTGAATATTCCCCAGTGAAGCGGCAGTATGTACGACGTAGCATGCGGTCTGGTAGTGTTTCATATGTTGTTCCAAGGGGAAGGAGAAACTCTGGGAGCACATCCCGTGGCCCTACACCACGACCTGATAGTGAAGATAACGATATTGTAACAATGGGTATGAATGATGTGAGTGAGGGAGCAGGCAGTGGTGGTGATGGTGAGGGTGGTACGGCCCATGTGGCACCATCAGCGGGCCATGCTACTACCCACGCTGCTGACTCTGCACAACAACCAGCCTCACCCGACCCCACACTCCCACAACCTGCACTCCCACAACCTGCACAACCACAACCTGCACAACCACAACCACGGTACAATATCCAGACCCCACCAGCAGACCGCATCTGGGATTGGCAGGAGGGTGACAAGTTTGTTCCCCTCCCCATGACTTTGATGAAACAAAAAGGGGAATAAACCCATATGTCCACTTGGGAACAACCCATGAACTGGACTGTTTTGGTTTTTCTTCGTGAACCCCTATGGAATCATTGT